ATGAAAGTTTTATTTCCTTAAATATATTGTACATATTAAGTCTGTATTTTTGATATTATAAACAGCGTATATATCTTATCCTTAGAGTTTGTTATAATATCACATTACGCGGATTTGAGAAGGCCTTTTTCAGGTACATCGAATGTCAAAGTTTTCAGATAATTTTAGTAATTTTCCTTTTATTTCTAAATTTGTTGTAATTTTAGATGCTTTCTATCTAAATGACTTTAGTCATTAGAAGAAAAAAATACACTGAAAAGCAGTCTTATCTGAGAATTGGAAATAAAAACCTGGATTTTAATTTCCTTTTCAAGACTATAAATTTCATATACTAAGTTAAAGAATGAGCTTGATTTAAATTAAATCTTATTCATTACATTGAAAAAGAAAATCTCTAATCTAACAGTGTAACAATGTGAAGTCCGTCCACTTAAATAAAAATGGTGATCACTGGAAAGGGCTTTGATGTCATTGCTAGAACATAACTGATTTATAAATGTAAATAACAACTGAAAATACCGTGTGATACCATGTCCATTAAAATCCTTATTTGGCCTGTATTTTCTCAACAGTTTGATTTTTCAGTTTGTTTCAACTAATAGAGTTGTATCTATAGCTTCTAAAGATCTTTTCCTTTCTTGGTTTTATAGGTCGGAACTGCAAAAATCTAGATACCAGATATTTTGAGCAGACAATGCGAAACTTGAACAGTGCTCTAACTGGTTTGAACACTGATCTAGCTGCTAACTGAATCTGTTAACTACTACACCACAAGAACACGCTTGGGAGAAGTGCCATAAATACTTATTTCCTAAAACGAAACATTCCAAAACAATTTAAACATTAACTGAATTATGAAAGAAGTAATTCTGAAATAAACTGTAGACTAAAAATCTGAAGATAAATTCAGATTTAAAGGTAACGTAACTAAATTAAAAAGAAAGCATTCAAAAAATACAAGAAGAATTAAATTTACTTTGCTTAAAAATTGCGTATTTTAATATATTTGAAATTATTTCTGCAGTTGTAGAAGACAAAGTTCGTAATATATACATATGCTTGTAATTAAAAAAAAAAAAAAAAGTTTTCAATATTCAATTTCTTTTCATGTTATGGTATTTTAAAGTGCAAAATACCAGTTTTATAAAAATTTATGAAATTTAACTTTTTTGTGTAGACCTCAGTCTCTGTAGTTATATTTAATGAAAGCATTTATTCATTGTAAAAAAATAAAACACAAAAAAAGTTTGACTCCCTTTCAATAAAACGTGATTAAGAGATTTAGAGTCTCAGGTCATGAAAAATGAAGAGCGAACTGACTGTGAAGCCGTTGGGTTTCCCCATGCGTAACGTGTATATGAGCCAGATTTCCTTAAAAATTCCTCCACAAAGCCATCCTTAAGCAGATAGGTTTTATAGACAGTGTGCGTTGCCATAATAAACTAAACAAAACAATCTATCTGCATAATGTAAGCCTCAGATACAGCACTTAAGATAATGATTAAAAGAACTCTGTTATCTTTTTCAAGTTAGTAATTTCATGAAGGAATGTCCTCATTTGAATTTAAGAACTACAGACTATCCAGATTACTAGATGTATGAAACTCTTTTCTAATTCCATTGCTCACATAAAATATAAATTTCCATAGACTCGTGGCAGATCTTAATTTCCCTCGACGTTTTGACTATGACTCACAGAATAATAAAACATAACACCGAAGAGAAGTTTCACTGCAAAATTCAAAAATTTTCAAAAATGTGTAGTCGCCAAATTGATTCTTTGCCATTTTTGGGCATTCGGGAAAACATCTCCACACTCTTCCTACTGTAGCATTGTAGCCGAACACCATGAAAACGTGAGCTGAGAACAGATACATTTTCTATTTCTTGAGAAGGGTTTCTGTAAGAGATAAAGAAGAGCAACTTATGTGGAAGTCGTTTTTTACCCATCGTGCCATGCATAGTGTCGTCTTCAATCGAAAGACTTCTGTACTTCGAATAAAATATGGGATATATTTCGGTCACATTTGCGTAAGGTAAACATGGAAAAGGTAACGAAGAAAATTTAAGTTCAAAGGCAAATAATCACAGAATAAACAGAAAAAAAATATCAGTTTCAGAAATCAATAAGTAAAGATGAATATTTAGAGAAAAATCAAAGTTTTGATAACTAGTTTCTCTAACAGTAGATTAAAATCAGCTAATTAAATTCTAGGATGCTTCTGATATGAGAAAGGAACTACAGTAACAAAATATTGTTATACAAGGGAAAACAGTATTATATGAAAACTTCAGATTATAATATAACATCTCGAAGTGTAACCATCTTCAGTGCAGTCTCTCGATGCAGTGCTGCTCTACGTACGTGCAGAGCACCTTTGTAGATTTCATTCGCTCGATACAATTTGAAGCTGATTCGCTACTACGGTGAGGCATACTTGCTTAAGATTTACTCCCAATAAAGTTCAAGGTAAAGAACAAGATTAAAGAAAGTTCAAGATAAAGAATGAAGTTTAACATAAAGTCTGATATTTAAAACGAACTCTTCAAAATGGCAAAAATAAAATTTTCTATGGTATGATTTTTACCGTAAATTAAAGCTACATGGAACCTTGCGCACTCAATTAATAAAGAAGAAGTTTAAGTATTCCAGATGTGCATTTATTTCATTTGATCGTCTGCGGACAAAACGTACGGCTAATATTTCTCTAAAGGAATTAGTACTTCCATAAAGAAACTTTCTGTTTTGTCTGTACATGAAATGCGTAGCGAAGGTTGTTGGAATTGGGAATTAAAAATATTTTAATTAAATGAAAATAACGTTTTGGTATTTTTATTTCAAAAACTGAATCAAAGAAAGAGTATCCAAATGCTCATGTCGAAACTGGAAAATGTAAACAATAAAATAATTTTGAAAAAAACACATGCCAATCAGATATTTAAATATTGGCGCAGTTCAGCTTTAAATTACCAATCGTTTTAAATAAAATCCTTATGCATTTTGAGGAAAAAGTACGGAGTCATTATTTTCCAAGTCGCAAAAATATTCTGCGCTGTAAGCCAGAAATACTCTGCCATTTTCTAAACAAATGAAATAAAAAAAATTAAGAGACACAATGGATGCGTATAATTTATCTTTAACAAAGGTAACTAAATTTTTGTTGTCCAGCGTTTCTTATTAAGATTTAATTTAAAATTAATAATGCATATGGTAATAATGAGAAATGTTTGAATTTTGCCCTTATTAATTTGAGTAAATGATTACAGAATGAACGAGACATTTATAAATAACATGGTAATATAAATGCAAAGCGATGAATATAAAATATAAAGAAAGAAATAGAATATACGGAGGAAACGTTAGTAAGTCAATAGGGCAATATTGCAACAGAATACTGTGTTATGCAAATATCATCCGAGTTAAACGAATTATAACACTTTAAGGTAATCATCTAACGAATAAATATATAATTACTAATTAAGTTTTACTCTAATTCAAGTATTTAAAAATATTCTTTTTTTATTTGCTAAATTTCATAATGAAGCAAAATAATTTAAAATGCGTAAATATGTTTGAACAAGTTTTTAATATAGGTCGATTTTAGATGCATTTAAAAATTCCTAATAATAATTTGATTTTTCAGTTTGTTTCAACTAATAGAGTTGTATATATAGCTTCTAAAGATCTTTTCCTTTCTTGGTTTTATAGGTCGGAACTGCAAAAATCTAGATACTAGATATTTTGAGCAGACAATGCGAAACTTGAACAGTGCTCTAACTGGTCTGAACACTGATCTAGCTGCTAACTGAATCTGTTAACTACTACACCACAAGAACACGCTTGGGAGAAGTGCCATAAATACTTATTTCCTAAAACGAAACATTCCAAAACAATTTAAACATTAACTGAATTATGAAAGAAGTAATTCTGAAATAAACTGTAGACTAAAAATCTGAAGATAAATTCAGATTTAAAGGTAACGTAACTAAATTAAAAAGAAAGCATTCAAAAAATACAAGAAGAATTAAATTTACTTTGCTTAAAAATTGCGTATTTTAATATATTTGAAATTATTTCTGCAGTTGTAGAAGACAAAGTTAAAAGCATATAAATTTTAGTTAACTGAAAATGAAAATTTAAAATTTAAAAGCAAAGCAGAAATCATTCATAACAATTATCAAAATTTAATGAAAGTAATTCAGGAAAACAAAATCTAATTTTTTTTCGTAAATAATGCTTGAAGTTGGTGACCAAAATTTTAGAAAATGTAGCTTATTGTTATTTACATTTTTATCAGCGCTAGATTTTCATAGATTTTTGAAGAGTTTTGTAGCTATGAAAATAGAGTTATTTTTAAAACAGTAATCAAGTTTTTATCGTTTTCATATAAACACAAATACATCAGATCATTTGGGTGAAAACGAACTTAAGAATTCCTCCTGATCTCTTAATTCTGTACATATTATCCAGAAAACTTTAAGGATTTAGGTTAAGTTATAAATAAATGCATTTACTATCTGTCCTAGTTCATTTCTCTGTTTATTAATTAAATTAAATTAATTAATAAACTTTTTCGTGAATTATTTTTAGCCTAAAGGGCTTCATCCTAGAATGGCTATTAATTTCATTTGGCATTTTGCGCTGAAAACTTTAAATGTCGGTTCACTTTCCAAATTGTTGCCACCAAACACTAGATCCCTGTGTTATATTTAAAGAAATTGAATAATGAAGAATCTGCATAAATGTATGCATGTTTCTCGCACTGTGAAAAAACAACAATACTTAGAGCCATCAAATTTTGAATAATGTATTCTTAAAGCGAATATGGGCATCTGGAAGACCTAATTAGGAATTTGAAATTTGTTTTAGTATCGATTTAACATTTTGTAACGAATTTTTGATTAACAAACTCAACGATTTCAAAACCACCAATGGCAACACTGTACGAAAAAAAAAAACTTTTTTATCTGCAGCGAGCGAGACTGTACAACCAATGGACATGGGGGTAATAAAAAATTTTAAGACTTTGTATCGTGGGAAATTGGTTAATTACGTATTAGAATCCATTGATGAAAATTTATTAACAACTTCCACAACAGCCAGAGAGATAAGTTCAAAAATTTCCCTTTTGCAAGCAATACAGTTTGCCGCTGATAGTTGGCGAGCTATAAAAGCCACTACAATACAGAACTGTTTTACTAATTGTGGCTTTAAACGCCTAGAAATTTCCAAAAATTTAAGCAACGAAGAAAATGAGGATATGTTGCAAGTTCCTATTTGTATTAACTATGAAGAATTTTCAACAATAGATAACAATTTACCATGTTACGATGATAATGAAAACTGTGAGGATTCAATCGTAGAAGGTATTAAATCAAAACATGGAAAATTAGACGAAGATGACGATGATGAGGATGAGTCACCTGTGCCTCTGACTAACCAGGAAGCAAAAAAAAAAAATATATATATATTGCCACGTTACAGCGTTATTTTATGCAGGAAGGAAATGAAGGGAGCCCTGCATCCGCACAGATTTTGTAGAAAAGAAATGCTACAATTTAATTTATTACCGGTTATTGGCTTTAGTTTCAAAAACCAAATAAATTTATTTAAAAAACTATGAAATTCGCTTAATTGGAACATCCGCTTAATTGGGACAAAATGCCCGGCCCCGATGTGTCCCAATTAAGCGGAATCGACTGTACTCCCCTTTTTAAAGGGCAACTAGGGTTTTAGGAGACCTAGTCGCCAAATCCTGGGAGCTGAGAATCATCATCCACAACCCGTTTTAGTTCAGGTGCCACTTGTAGAGTCATTAGGTTAATTGGAAAAACCGAAGAGATGAAAAATTAGCAAACGCCTTCGCCGGGAATCGAACCACGGACCTCTGGAATACCGGCCCAGCGAGCAAGAACCACTACACCACGAAGGCACGCTAGGAAAGCGGGAGAAATACCTTATAATAGTACTTCAAAATCTTGTTTTTAGTTAAATGTAATTGTCCGTGAAGACATCCACACGTTCAGGCAGATAAATCTAGTACGCCTTTCCATAATTAAATAAACTAAAAAAATAAAAAAAACCGAAAGGTTTCAGATTTTAAATTATGTCTAGAGAGACTTTTTTTAATATTTTGTGTGTTACCTTTATTTATTAAATATTGTGTTCTTTCCACTTAAACCATAAAATTTAGTTCAGCAACTTCGTTGAAGTGTTACAAAATATGAAAACGATAATTAAACAAATTTCAAATTCAAACTGGGGCTTCCACATGTCCATATTCTATGGAAGATTACATTAATCAAACTTCGATGGCTCTAGGTACCTTTGTTTTATCACATAGCAAGAAACATACATACATTAATGCAGATTCTTCGTTAATTAAATTCTTTAAATATAATACAGGGTGCTAATATTTGGTGGCAACAAGTTGAAAAGTGAAATGACGTTTATCGTCAATCGACGCAAAACGCCAAAACGAAATTAATAGACCTTCTGGGCAAATTGCCCTTTTAGATTAATAACATAATTTAATTTTGTTGTTTTAGAAAGCTGTTCAAGACGCACATGCGCGCACAGGAACATGCTGTTATAACTTAAATCTATAAATTCTTGTGGTCATGAATTGATTTAAATGAAAATCAAACAGAATAGAATTTCATTTATTTAAATTTAAGAGCAGAACCATTCCAGAGAGCACATATATTTGGATAACACATGAGGACTATTTTCAGTAGATAAAACTAGAAATAGATTCTTATAACTTGATTAAATTATAATGCATTTGCACATTATAAAAATTGATAAATGCTTTCAATTTGTTTCTACATTTAATTGAAGCTGTGTTGTCAAAACCTTGATTTTTACGATCGGAAATGATTCCTTTTATAAAAAGAAAATGCTATAATTTAAAGTGTTAAATACTTTTCCTGCGAGCCATTACATTGTAAAGAATCCGAATTGGTTCGAAAGTACTTGCCAAAATTTGTTAAAAAATTTCTAGCACGGTAATCACCTCTAGTAATGTACATTACGCTGATGCCTGCTTAAAAATTCTTTAACAATCATCATTTCCGAGATTTGGAATAAAGTCTTGAGGATTAGTATCCATGTCGCATCATGTATATTTCAAAGAAAAACTTCTTTACTTAATTTCTTCGATAAGCTTCTCTTTCAAAAGCAGACATTTTATCCAAACTTACAGTAAGCAGTTACGTAAATCTGTTTTGAAAAGTTAGAAGTTTGTTGCGCATAAAAAGCAACAAAAGTAGCGTAAAGTAATCGTTGCTTAATGGTTAAAGAAGGATGTAATGCTAATTGAACGAGGTAGTTGAAGTCCTTTAATCGCTTTATAGCTCTTCTGCTATTTAAATTTATTTAACGTTCGGAAGGAAATTAAAAATTAATCTCCACCCAACCATAATACCCTAGAGGATGATTTCATTCCCGTTTTAAAATATCCAAAGCATCTTCAGCATCACAGCTGAAAATGCACACATAAAATTTTTTTACTTCAGCTACCACATAAGCTTAGGCTTAACTTGGATGCTATATCAATATCATAAAAACGCCAGCTGGTATTAAACATCTAGCGCCTTTTCCACCCACCCACTACATGCAGATTGAGTTTACTGCAGAGCAAAACGTGTTTTGCATTCCTCATCTTAAACCTAATTGAGTGTAAATGGATAGCGCGAGGCACAAATATTTACTTCCGCCTAGGAAGTTCTTCGAAACGTTCTCTCAAATATCTGTTGCCAGATCCTTTCCACTTTTTTTAAACTTTTGCTCATAGTCTCGGTTGGATCGTTTGGCCGCGTGGCTTCGTCGCCAGCGTGGCATTAATTTTCATTCTCTTCTATTAAGGCAAAACCGGTAAGAGGGCCTGTTTATGACATATTATTTTTAATTTACGGTTCTTGTTAGAGATGTTTATGAGATGGATTTTTAGGAACTTGCTTTCTTGTTTTTACAGTACAAGCCTCGGGGATTGTCGTTACTGATTGTCGTTAACATTTTAAGGAGTTTGTTGTTTCTTTTTTCAACGATAAATGGAGACGTATTTTTAAAATGAAGGGATTTTTGGTGAATGAAGTGCACTGTAAAATTTGAAATTTTTGTTAGCTGCGCAGAAAAAATTGATTAAGTATGGTTATGAAAATAACTCTTCATAAACTACGGAGTTAATTTTATCATTAATTAGTATAAAATTTTTATTCAGTTTTAAAATTTTTACTACAAGCAAGATATGTAAAATGTTCCATAATATTGTAGCTTTTACTTTCAGCCGGCATACCTTTCATTGAAAGTAATTTATCTACAACTATACCAAACTATTTGTTTCTTAATTAAGAACTCCTTTTATTCATGAAAACTTGAACTTGCTTTAAAAGTTTCGATTTTTACTAATGCAGTAATTCAGGATTTAACAGCTTTGAACTTTTACATGTTCTTTCCTTTCCTTATTTTATACTTTCTCTTTTTATTTCTTTTTTAAACTTTTTTTAAAAGGGTTGTGTACAAATTACTAATATTTACAAATATCCCTTTATAAAAACACATGTAGGAAGGAAATAGGCGAAACATAATGAATTAATTATACGATATTTGTTCCCAAAGCAACACAATGGAATGGAATTTTTCGATCTCTTAAATTAGTTTAAATAGGATTTTTATAAGTAATATCACAATTACGATAACATATATTTAACTCTGAAAAGCGAATCTTAAGAGAAAAAATATCTGTCAAAGTGCATAATGAATTATAACGGAGTGAGAGATATTTTTCGAGACTCAGGTTTCCAGCAGAATCATCTTTGCAATTAAATGCTCTCGTATTCATTACTGCGTATCATTTCCTGGGTTACTTACTGATTTTTATCCTCTATCATCATCTCCATTATACTGATTTAAAAATAGGTATTTTGACCAAGCCTTTCTGACACGTAAGCCTTTGCGATCGTAACATGTGTTGTTATTACCGCACAGTGAATTCAGCTTTGAAATATTAAGGGTACATGGAACATCTCGACAGGAGAAATGAAGCAGTTTTTGCAAAACACGTACAAGATTCAACAACACTTATTTTATTTAAAATACAGATATAAGTGAGATTTTCTTCACACAGTAAATATATGTATTTTCAGCTCATATGTAAATAAAAAGAAGTTAACTATCAGCATAAATTAGTTTGCAAGAGCTAATTAACTTTTTATATAGCTATATGAAACTTTTTGAACGATATGTCTGTTCGATACACAATTCTAAAAAACTATTGAGCTTATCGCCTTAAAATTTGGTATGGTAGCAGAAAATGTACTATTTGAGAATAATAAGAAGCAGTTTTTAATTTTGTTAACAAATTACATTAAAGATATTTTGCTGAAAAACTTGGAATGTTTCATTATATTCAAACTTTTCCACCCAGATGTATAATGTTAAGTATTTTTAAAGAAACTAGTTAGTTGTACAGTTTGGAAAAGTGTAAGCACAGTACCTTAAATAGAATTTTAGGAAAGTATACCGAAGCATTAAAAAACACATTTTGAGGAAAGGTAAAAAAAAACTATACGCATATGCACAATGCTTAAAATGTGCTATTTTAAAACCTTCAAGCACCATGGTCATTTTGGTTTATCATTTCCGCACCAATTCGTCTCTATTTTATCATTTTAATTTTCATTTTGGCTGATTTAGAGAAATTTTGGAAACTTAAAAATGCGTCTCGAACTCGTGCCTCGTCAATTTTTTTGTAATGAATATTTTGTATTATGGCCCAGTTCAATTCCCACATGTTTTAGAACTTTTGAGCGGTTCTAAGTCCCATCGTTAAAGCTAACCGCAACATCTATAATACCTACTTTTAAAGTAGCTATTACGACAAAAACAGTTTTATGTAAGCTTTTCCATAAACTGTAGAGACATTAGGATTTTTGAGGCTGGAGATGGGAAAAAGAAGCAGTGTCGTCGCCGGGACTCGAAAAACGGACCTCTCGAATACGTGTCGATCTTGCTGACCACTACACCACGAAGGCATGCTAAGAAGGCGGGAGAAATACCTTATAAAACAACAGTTAAAACTCTCACTTGAATTCTGAGTTCTATCATGTTTGCATTTGCACAAATATTTTCTATCAGACAGAGAATGGAAAATATTTTTAGCAGCAGAAAATATAGTTTTTGGCACGGAGTGTTTCTGACTATACTTTTCATCTTTTTTGAGGCTCTATTGTAGCCACATCACGTTCCCAAAGCTATAAGACACAGTTGAAAGTTTATGATAATACTGTATTACCCATATAGAGTTTACCATGCCATCTAGGGATGTGTTTATATTACGGTGGATTGAAAATAATATAAGGGGAATAAACCATAGGGTAAAATAAAAAGAAGAGTTGCTCTTTTCAGTGAACAAGAATGCTGAAAATTGTGAAAACTTGTGTCCCT